TTTTATTAATAAATTGTTAAGTAATAAACGTCGAAATCAGCTATAATTTCAAATGATCGGTAAATGATCGGCAAGTGATCGGATATTTTTTGGAGGAGAGTGTAGATAACAACTCAAATCTACCTCTTATAATCATCAATATTGATAAAACAAACTCAATATTTGAACGAAATAGAGACATATTTCTTAAAGAAGTTGTCAAATCACTCTCAGATATGATTTTTCGACATTACTTTATCTTTCCTGTTCTAACCGGAATCCACGCAAGCAGTCTATTTAGTACTGTTAAATCAACAAATGCCAAATTTGAAGAAATTTATTTACCTTTACTAAAGTCTAATCATGCCAAGGAAGTTATTCTTGAATTAGCAAATCGTAAACAGGTAAGCTAAAGATTTGGGTTTAATGCTAATGTCTTTAAAAGCATATGTAAACTAGTATATTTATATTATTAGAAAGCGGAATGGTAAATTTATGTTATATGCTTTACTTTATAAACATTTGTTGCTTTTTTTTAAAAAAAAAAAAAAAATCTAATATATTATTATATACAGTATTTTGGAACTCTCTGTTTATTTGGAATATATAATTGACTACTTGGTGTGGTTGGACGATTTTTAGAAATACTGATATTTCAGATATGAATCATCATCAATATTCTACTATTAATAAGTTCTATTATGCGGGATTTTGCCATTTCTTACAAAAATTGCAGAACAATCCAAAATTCTGTGAAATTCTTATCAAAAGAACAAAGGAAATCATTAATTCAAAATATAATCATTACTTTGATCACTTTAAAAAAGAAGAAAATACCGAGATTATTCCATTATTAGTAGCATATAGTTTGTTTGATATTGGTATCAGTCGAGTAGAATCAATTGGAACAAAAAGGAAGCGTAAATTTGAGGTATGGATACACGACATAATTGAACCTTTATATATATTTTAAATATATATTACCAAATATTCTCTTATAGGAGCTTGAACAAGAAGACATTATTTTTATTGATAAGAATTTGGATGGGAAACATTCAATTAAGCTTCCTTTCTTGATTCTGCATGAATTATATTCACAACATCAAAATCCAAGTATAACCCTAGATATTAAACTTCTCAAGTCCTTGGATATTGCACTTTCACCAGATGAAAATAAACGTGTTACATTATCGGTATTTGTGTTTCGATTATGGACCATTTATCATACAATTAAAAATGAAAGAAATGATGGACTTTTTCAATGCAAACTTTCAAGACTTGTACCTTTGCGAAATGGTCAAAAAGATAGAGTTTTAAAATTTCATCCTTGGTTTTCTGTACGTGATACTCTAGATTTAATTACAAAGGAAAATTAGAAATCTTTTGTTAATCAAGTTCAAAATCAGCAACAACAACGTTATAAAGAATGTATTGCATATCAAAACAAAGGAAAAGTTCCATTTGCAGACTCATTTATACTTACTGAACCTCCTATTCTTATTCAAGATAAACAATCTATCACTAGTCAAAAAAAGCAGATTATTGGTAATAATCCAAAAGTTATAGCAAAAAATCTTGTAAAAAATGAACATGCAAAATGTGATATAGATGATCATATTTTTACATATTTTTATCTTAGTAACTGATGAAATACAAAGAGATAATTCTGATGAAAAATTAAAGAATAATGAGATTTTGATTTCATTTAATAATATAAAAGCAGTATTCAGAGAAATTTTAGCATTTAGAAAATTATACTGTATTGAAAGAGCATAAATTTATTTATTAAATCACTTGTTGATATTAATTTAGATTTTCTATTAAATAAAAAATATACAAACATTTTCAATCAACTTTACCAAACAGATTTTGTGCATATATTGCATTATTTAATATTTGTTTTTGTTTAATATTCAATTCCTTCTATTGAATTTTTAACAAATAATTGAAATACATATTATATAATTAATTAAAATCTTCAAAAAGAAAAATATTTTTTATTAAATATTGAAATCTATCAAAAAATTATAAATTTTTTCAACAAATCAAATTAAAAAAAATGCTTATTCTTAACTTTATGATTTTACTATATATATACTACTTGACTAAAGTAGTTAAAACTTAATTTTTATCATTTACTAAAAAACATACATAATAATCAAACCTGAAATTTTAATACGTGATAATATAATACATACAGAAATTATAATATCATTATTTGTTTACTTGTAAACAAAAAAGATTGAGATGATAAATACAGGAATTAAACAAGTTTTTCTTTTTAAACTCAAAAAATATATAACCTAACAGAATCAGAATGGAGTTAAATAATTGGTCTTTATAAGAGTGACAACACAAAAAAAGTATTTTTAAAATTCTTAAAATTTTAAGAATGTCAGTTATCTGTACAATTCAAAACTTTTGTAAAGGAAAAAATCTTAAAATACAACTGCAAATAGGCTGTCCAAAACTCTTGAATTTTAAATATCAAAAACTTTAAAATAGATTGTTAAATGAAATAATTGTTAATCAATTGAACAAATAAAAAATAAGTTTCAAAAAAAAATTGAACTGGAAGTTTTCACTACAACTATCAGAAGAAGTTTACATAAACTTAAATTTTTTTTTCATTTTTCAACTTTCAAACCTCTTCTCAGTAATTAATAAAGAGAAAATCAATTAAATGGTATGTTGAAAGAAAAAATTAAACTGTTAAGAAATGAAAGTCTATTATTTAAAATGATAAAAATCATTTTACAATATTTAAAAATGATAGTTCAAATCATATTTGAAGAACACCTAAGACAAGATTCAATATTAAAAATATATTTCCTTTAATAAAGCATGATAGTAGAGATGTAATGATATAGGGTTATTTTTTAGAAAAAGGATTGAAACTATTAGTAAAAGGTGAAGGAAAAATGAATTGTTATGATTGTATTCAAATGCTTGACACACATTTTGCAACTATTAATTAATAACGATTTTAATGAGCAAGATTATTTATTTCAGAATGATAATACTCCTGTCTATACCGCTAAAGATGTTAAAGAATAAATAAAACTGAAGAAGATCAAAATATTAGAAAATTGGTCAAGTCAATCCCCAGACTTGAATCCTATTGAGTACTTGTGATCAGAATTAGAGAGGCATATCAGAACTTATTCTAGACCTACAAAAAATATAAGAGAATTAAAGGTTATTTTATAAGAAAAATGGAATTGAATTTCTAATGACATTTTATTAAATTTAATTGAAAATATGTCTTGAAAAATTGAGGTATGTATTGCAATTAACGGCTGGCTAACTAAATACTAGTTTTATATATAGTTTGACTAATAAATATTAAAATTTTAATCCTTATTATTATGTACATTAATAAAAATTGAGTATTCGTTACTTTTAGTTAAGTAGTGTATATAATAAAATACTAGTTTAAAGCTAAAATAGAAAAAAGTAAATTAATGATACTAAAAAAACTTATATTAAAAATCAGATTTCAGCAAAAATTATCCTATTAATTATCATTATTTCTGAATATATATTAATATCTTTCTTATATATTTTATATCACTTTTTTAAAATTGATAAATATAAATATATTATAAAGAAATTGTCTAAAATACAAATAATTTAATATTAATTAAGAAAATTACTTTTTTTATTTAATTTTATATATTTATTATAAAATCTGTAATAAATCTATAGAAAGGTATATTTAATAATATTTATATATAAATTAAATCAGTTATTAATTTTATTAATTTTTTAATTATATTTATAATATAAATTATATTTATTTTTTAAAGATATAAATAATTTAATAATAATATTAGTTGAGAAAGTATTATGATTATTGTATTAAATTATATGATATAGTAATATAATCATCTTTAATAATATAAAATAAATATATTGATATATTTCTTTATATTGATACCTTAATTATACTTTATAATTTATTTTTTCTAACTAAGCTGTAAGTAAAATTAATTATAATTTTTCTAATTTATAATAAAAAAATAAAAAAATTTTTTACTTTAACAAAGAAAAAATAATATATTTTTAGTAATTTTTTATATTAAACTTATATATAGAAAATAATAAATTATAACTTGAGGGTCATTAATTTAGTATTTTATATCTTATCTTTAGAATTAAAAAGAATAGGATTATAAATTTAATATAAGAAACTTTAATAAATAAATGAATTATAAATAAAAATATAAATTTTCTACTATTTGTTAAATGAGTCATAAAGAATAAAATCAATTAAATAGCTTATAGAAAATATATTATACTTTTAATAATTTAATACCTGATTTTTTTCTAATTTTTAAAAGTAATAAATGTAATAAGAACTAATTTTCAAATTATATAATTAAAATTTTAATAATTAAAATTAATTGAAAAGATTAACATATTTTTATTTTTTAATAATTAAAAAAAGCTAAAAAATAATATTGTTTATATATAAATATTTATAAAAAGAAATATAAAGTAATAATAATACTGAAAATATAAGAAGATACTTAAATTAAGTAAAAAGATCAATAATATTAGACTATTAAAAAATACTTAAATAAATTTAAAATGATTATAAGAAAGTATTCAAATAAATTAAAAAATTATTAATATAAAATATCATTTAATAAAGCTAAAAAATTAGTAAATTATAATTAGTCTAAAATGAGGTAAAAAATTACAGTCAACTCTTGATATAACAAACTTTTAATATAACAAATTTTTTGAACAAATATAATAAAAATACTCTTATTATAGTAAAATGACTAATCAAATCTCTTAAAATTTTCACTATAACTTTATAGCAAAGTTAAGATCTAAAATATAAAGTTCATTATAACAAGAGTTGACTGTATATATTTTTATTTAAAGTATTTCAATGTCTACTTACTCAATAATTGAGTTAATGCTGATTGGTATTTGTAATTATATTAATATTTAGATAAAGTAAATACTAGTATGAATTTTTTTGGTTAAGATTGTTTTAGACTTAATAATAATTCCTGTTTTTTAGTCATATTACAATTTATACATTGCTACTTTTTAATTTATATAAATAGACAGTAATATTTATTACATAATATCTATTTACTATAAGCTCATATTCCTACTTTTGTCTTATAATAATTTTATATTATATTATATATAAAAAGATTTTTTAATTACTCTTCTACTCTTAAAATATTATGTAATAAATGTTATTACTTTTATTATAGCATATGGTCCAATGCAAAAAGATTGATACACGAAAATCATTACCTAATTTTCTTATTTGATATAAAATCTAATAATTATGTTATTTAAGTGTACAAATGATGTGAAAGGTTAGATTGTGTTCGAAGTTTAAATAGCTTACTAACTTTAAACTTTTTTTTTTTCTCATGGATAATTTAATTAGAGACGGAAGTCCATTAACTGATAATGAACGAAAGATGGTTTTTAACGTCTATCAACATTTTTTAAAGGTTTGACAATGCCAAAAGCAACATCATGACTTATCTTTACGCAAGGAAGTTGCTGCGTATCTTAGTATTGGGAAGGCTACAATTGCGCAAGTAGTTGCTGAACAAAATAAAAAAAACAATGGAGAATTTCAAAAACAAAAAATCCTAGGTCAGCCAAAAAATACATTTGACCATAATATTCCTGAAATTTTATGAAGTTTTATTATGTCTGCAAACACCTCTGGTATTCCACTTTCAACACAAATATTACGACAAAAGCTTGAAGAAAATGGCTATAAATTATTAAAATGGCAGTTACTTCGTTTACTTTATAAATTGGAATATTATTATGGCCATGGTGAGCATCAAAATATATTGCATAAATTACTAGCAAATGTTGCTTTTTGTAATCGTTATTTACGATATCGGTTTGAAAACTTACAAGGAAATAACAAAGTTCCGACTAGGCCAGAAGTTTTTTTGGATGAATTATATTGTCATTTGCACCATACTACAAATTGTATTTGGGTGCCAAGTCATAGGGTAGTATATTCACCAGGACGTGGTCTCTTAATTGTTATTTTTGGAGCGATAATCATAATGCGTAACGGTAATACTAATAAGCTTTTTGGGAAAATTGTTCTTAATTCACTTCTTATATGGGATCCATCAATAAAACCACCTTCATCAAAAGGGAGAAAACGAGCAAATTCTGATGCCTGAGATAATATTCCTGAAGTTATTCAAAATTCCAATATTACAGCGAACCATATTGACTATCATGGGAATTTTACAGCTGAAATATTCGAAGATCTTTTTGATAAACTCTGTGCTAATATTAAGGAATGCTATAGGCTAGTAAATATTCATATGGATGGTGCTCAGTATCACAAACATCGAGTTGAACAAGTGCCAACATCAAACTCGAGAAAGGATGCATTAATTGCTTGGTTAACTTCAACTGGTATTGATATTCCAGAAAATTCTACCAAAGTAGAATTATATGAGTTAGTAAAACAAAATAAAGCAAATATACCTTTTAAGTGTGTTAAGATAGCTAGAGAACATGGTCACAATTTGTTT